GCACGAATACCAAGCAGTACAGCATGCATTTTCCACATTTCTGTCGAAGTGAATTGCGTCATGCTGCTCTTTTTCTCACAGAGGGTGCCCAACTGACCCTACTATACTGTGCCGTCACAAAATCAAAAACAAACAACGCACATGCGCTAAATTAAAAATACAAAATTGCGACAATTTACCCATCGTACCCTGTATATATTCTTTTCTTCTCTCTGTCTTTCTCAAATATATACTAGCTGAATTACCCGCACCTTACTGCTTGTCACATGTTTTTGTAAGAGAATGATCATTGATTTAAAATCATTGTTATAATTTGTAGAGAAAAATAATGCATTTCAATATTACTCAATGATCTTGCCGATGTGATCTCCATCTTCTGGCTTTCTCCTACAATATTTTTGATAGGAGTCATGTTTTTGTTCAAATTTAAATATAATTTAAATCAAAGGGAAAATTTTTCAGTGAGGTTTTGTGCAAAAACAGCTTGACATGTATTTGATGCAATACTTAATTGAATGAATGTATATATATATATATATATATATATATATATATATATATATATATATATATATTATGTATATAATGGGCTCTCCTATCGAGTTCGATATGTATGAGGTTCCGACGATCACGAACTAATTATCTGCATGCCTATGACGGGCATGACTTTTGAGACCAGCTCGAGAATTGCACAAAAGACCACAAACAGTACAGGAGAATGTATTGTATCCAAATGCAGCTGGAATACTGTTAGCTGTCTTATTTTGCTTTCATGTTTCACGCAATCGACTGATTCTTACATCTTGATGGTGTATTATTCCTGAATGGCAGCTAGAAAGATACTCTGATCTCTTCATAGCTACCTCGTCAATGGAATGTTGACACAAGAAAGGTTGCTTTTCATTTTATACCTGAGCCAAGGTCTACCGACGTTTCTATGCCCCCTATGGAGTTCACTGTAGAAAGAACTTTTGGTATGCGATCATCACTCATCCTTGCCACATATATATATAAAGGAAATTGTGAATCTCCATGACTCTTATTGGAAATAAGTATTAGTATTCAAAAGTTGTCTTCTTCGAGACTGGTTGCCAAGTCAGTCAGTCAGTTATGTGCCATGCGTGATACACGCTTAGGCGATCTTGTATCTTTCGATGCATGACTGACGAGGCAGATTTTTCCCGCAGTAGGTTGCCGCTTCTTTCTGCGGTTGACCAGTTGTTATCCATAGCTGAAGGCAGGGAAGAAGAAGAGGATTCATACCTTTCTCAAGGGTATTAGCACGTAAGTGAACATAATGGATTCAACTGGAATTCGAACTCGGCTCTCTGATTCCGCAATCCGAGCCGCTATCCATTTCTCTAACGTATAAATATCCTTACCGCTTCTCAGTGGAGTCCAATTTACATGGTCAGAAGTAACTATTTGATGATGGGGGTGGAGAAAAGGATTCATACCTTTTCCAAGGATATTAACACGTAAGTGAATGTAATGGATTCGACTGGAATTCGAACTTGGCTCTCTGATTCCTCAATCCGAGCCGCTATCCATTACTCCACCCTACTTCCACTTCGTTGCCAAACGAAACTGTAAAAGTCTGCCTTACTGGCTAGGGATGGGAAACATGGAGTCATGTCTTTCCCAAAGGAATTAATATGAAGCGAACGTAACACACTTGGCTTGAATTTGAACTCGACCTGCGGATTTCATTTTCTGCACTGATAAACCGTTACGCTACCCGCATGTCTATTATTTTACAAAAAACAAAAAAAATTAATATAGCAAAATATTGTGAACATCTGTAAATTTAGCTTTAAAAATAAGGAAAAGTGGAATTTCTACGGATATTGCCAGTAGCGGCGAGAGGTGGGGACAGCCGGCACAAATGTGCTGGGACTCGAAACTTTAGGGGCCTCGAGAAAATACCCTAAGGTGTTTTGGCGCGGTGGGGGGCATCTTTATAAAAAAGAAGTATCATAAACATATATCACAACCCTACCAGAAAGACACGCTTACAGACAGTCTTGTAAGACACGCTAGATCGAGTTTATTTGTCCCAGAATCTCCTTTTCCGACTTTCAAAATAATCCGTGCCGAACCCCAGAAATTCTTTCCTCGGCACTGGGTATTGCTATTAAAGACCTATATCTTTAACTATCAATGCCGTTGTAATGGGGTATTTTTCTCAATGCCTTCTTCTAGGCTCAGCAGAGACAATGTTTGTTCTATCTGTCCTACTATTTTAATCATGTCAAGTGGAAATGAAGAGAGAAAGGATGGTTTCATGTCTTTTCCAAGGACAATAACGCGATAATTTCGTCCTGAGCTTGAACCTGGCTAGCAGATACCATTTCCCGCTTCCATAACCACAAACGACACCTGTACATCTTTTGTTACTGAAAAAAAAATCCAAGTTCCTGAGAATCTCTAGATTTCAGACACTAGTTTTAAAAGAAAATTCCAAACTTTGTGTCCTTCATTTCTTAGATCAAACACCTGTAAACCAGTGAGATGTGTATTTTATATTGATTCTAGGTCAAATCAAACTATAAATTTTATAGACATTTTGGCGTCATAGTATTCGACTGTTTTTTTTTTTTTTTTTTTTTTTTTTTAAAATTGTTCTTTCAAAGCAATCTCATTAATGTGCAGTCCAGTCGGGTCAGTGTGTATATCCGAGTTGATGTCATGGTGTCCTCCAAGCTTAGGGAACTTCCCAGCGATTTCTTCTCACACGTTATTCTAGCAAGTATACAACAGACACTGTAACCGAATTCCTTTCTGGAGTCTAATGAAAGAAGGCTCAACGCGAATCTTGAAAGAACTGATAGTCATGAGAAACTATTATCTGTGCCATTCTTTTGAAGTCGCTCAGAAAAAAAAAATGAAACTTGCAAAATGGCGGAAATAGGGAAAGCATCTACTTGCAATCCCACACTTTCGACAAGTTCAAAATACAGTCAAATCAAAGTTATAACACGATGAACCCGTATTTCAACCAGATACTGAGTCCGAATGATTGTTTATTTCTTACATACTTTCTTTATTTATCTGATATCCTTCTTAAGTGTTTCGGCCGAGGGATAATGATCATATCTCAACTTCTACCCTCGGCTTAAGGATGTCCCTGACTTCATAAAGAGTGGAGATTACGGCCACATCCTGTTCAAAACACATACGATCATCAAAGTTAAGCAAAGTCGAGTCTGGTCAGTACCTAGAAGGGTGACTGCTTAGCAATACCAGGCGCTGTAAGCTTGGATGTATATGTAAAGGATAATGACTCGGAATTTTTATTTTGTACATTGTAAAAAAAAAAAAAAAAACAAAAACGAAAAAAAACATTTTATTACTTATCACGATTAATTTAAAAAAAAAAAAAAAAAAAAAAACCATTTTCGTTATATGGAAACCACCCATCAAAGAGACTATTATAACTAAGTAGTTGATTTTTTTTCTCATTTGTGTGGATTTTTAGTACGGATTGTAATGGTTTATTCTTATTTTCAAATACCAATTGTCCTGGATATAACGATAAACTACATCCGGCAGCAAGGCCTCTGATCGGGTGATTTGAGGTTTTGAGGAGCGCACAACCACCTCTTAATTGCTGTTGTCTCCAGGTCTCCCCTGACCCGTGGGTGGTATCGCCAGTTAGGGTTCCAGTTAGGGCCGATAAAGATACATTTTTAATACGGATGGTAATGGTTTATTTTGGTTAACTGACAGCCTGGTGTTTTCTAGATTGTAAAAAGAAAAAAAACAAAACAAAAACGAAAAAAAAATTTTATTACTTATCACGATTAATTAAAAATAAAAATAAAATAAAAACATTTTCGTTATATGGAAGCCACCCATCAAAGAGACTATTATAACTAAGTAGTTGTTTTTTTTTTGTTTTTTTTTTTCATTTGATGTGGAGAATCAGGAGTTTGGCTCTCTCCGGTGTCGAATAACGTCGATTATTCATATGTCTTTATTTGATCGATATCGACCTACTACTCGACTGTGGGGCAGGCTTACGGCCACATTCCGTTGAAACACCGGTTTTAGCACGATCACCTAAGTTAAGCAACGCGGAGCATGGTCAGTACCTTGATGGGCGCCCGCTTGAGAATACCAGGTGATGTAAGCTTGAATGTGCCGGTTTTGTAATGGATAACGGCACGAAATTGAAAGTTGAAGAGCCGAGTTTCAATTCAGGTTGGATTCGTCATGCTCCCTAGAATGCAAATAACCTCTGGAAAGGTATGTTCCTTTTTTTCTTTCTTTTTTTCTTTTTTTTTTTTTCTTTTTTTTTAAAAGAAATATCTTCATGATAATTGTTGTGATGACGAGCTTTCCTCTTTGATAGCTCGACTTTACGAATCTAGATTGGCAACTTGGTCTCATGATAGAGTCGAAATTTCTACATGTAACCATAAGTTCTATGCTAACAGTACTCGCGTGTGGAACTCTCTTCCCGCTTCTTGGTTTCAAACTTAGTAACCAATTGCGTTTTAGTAGCTTTATCACCTTGCTTGGAATGAAATGATTAAAAAAAAAAAAAAAAAAAGCTAAAAATGACTGAATAATTACTGTAAAGATTTTCTTCCTGGATTCTGGTGTTTATATATTGTTTTACTTTATACGGCTTATCAACCACGGATTATTTAAATCCAGATTTAAATCTAGAAAATATTTTTATTTTGTAAGAATTTTTTGAGATAATAATGATGTGGTGACACACGTTTTACTAATTAGCCCATAGCGAGGGGAAGAGGTGGATTCATACTTGTAAATATTCAGAAGTAACTATAACGAATCCAACAGGAATTAGCTCTCCGATTAAAAATTTCCGAGTCATTATCCTTTGCACATACATCCAAGCTTGCAGCACCTGGTATTGCTAAGCAGTCACCCTTCTAGGTACTGACCAGACTCGACGTTGCTTAACTTTGATGATCGTATGTGTTTTGAACATGATATGGCCGTAAGCTCTACCATCCACACCTCCAAGTTTACGGTACCTGGACTTCCCAAGTGGTCACCCATCCAGGTAGTGCTCAGGCTCGGCGTTGCTTAATTTCGGTGATCGTACGGAAACCAGTGTTTCAGTGTGGTGTGGCCGTAAGCTACCATTGTTGGTTATAGAGTGAGAATTTCTTTTTCTTGTTATCTACAATGTCGGGTAGACACTGGAAAAGAATTAAATGAGTTTATTTGACCTAGTCAAACATACCAAAGAAATTTGGAGATCCCTACACCACCATTAGCCTGTTATCAATGTAAAACATGACTTCGTGTTCTTACATTGAACTCAGTGTAGGAATTTATTGAGTTTTATCAGTCTTTTTAATGCGACATAAAAAAAGTTTTACGAATGACTCATGGTATTGATGAGTCTATGAGTTCATAGATCAAATATATCAATCAGTCAAAGAGTAAAATTGTAAGCTGACAGTTGTACATAAAATTATGGATTCTTTTATAGCTTTTTTTAAAAATCTAACATGTGCAAACATGTAGTCAAATTAAAGGAAATCTGATTATATAAATCATACGTGTTCAAATTCTAGTTGGGTTCGTTATATTACTTTACGCGCAGTTACCCTTTGGGAAGGTATGACCCCATCTATTCTCCCCTATAACAGGAGAGACTGGCCTTTGTCGACAATCAGTCTACCGCAGAAAGAAATGTTAACCTACTGCGGGAAAATCTTCTGCCCAGTCAGTCATGAATCGAAAGAGCTATGATCGCCCAAGCGTGTATCGCGTCTAGCACTTAACTGACTGACTGATGAAAAACACGGCACCCGTCAAATTACCGCTTGGAAATACAAGGTGTTGTAAGCTTGGATGTAAGCATCTGGTCAGTACCCAGGTGAGTGGCTGCTTGGGAATAACTGGCGCTGTGGGGCTTAGATGTACGAGTGGTACCATCAGAGTGTCTCGTACACTTGATTCTATCCTCCTTAGGCGACTTATGGTGAGATCACATTGAAAACCGGTTCTCGCACGATCGCCAAAGTTAAGCAACGTCGAGCCCGATCAATGCCTAGATGGATGGCTGCTTAGGCGCTGTACGCTTGAGCGTGCGTGTGGTGTAATAAATAACAACTCAGAATTGGAAATCGGAGATCCGAGTTCCAATTCCAGTCGGATTCGTTACAGTCACTTACGCACAAATACCTTTGTGAAAGGTCCATCTTTTCTCCCCCATCTATGGGTTAATTAGTTGGATTGGTATCAGTAAATCATTATTATCTTCAAAAAAGACTTACAATCTAAAACTATTTTTTGGCTTTATATATCCCTCAAAAGGTTAATAAGTCGTAAAAATCCAACCGATAAATCAATAAACCAAAGATTAAATGAGATATTTATAAAACCATGAAAAATAGAAGATATTTAACAAGAAAGGAAACCTCATCTATTTTTTCAAATCTTCTCTCATAGACACTACTACAGAATACGACATCAGTATTTGCCTTGTCAGCCATCAGTGGGTTCCCATCAAAAGCAGACAGTCTCCAAAGCTGCCAAGAATCTTATTAGAGAATATAAATATCCTAACCAATTTATCATCAAATAAAGCTTTATTTATCGGATCAAAATATATCATTTAATGGAATAACGGGAAGAATATGTAGCTTTATTATATTTTCAGTTTAATATATACTGTAAAGACAAAATGTAAGTAGTAACAATAAAAATATGGCAAGGTTCGTGTGCTATACATAAGGGGTACATCTGAAAGGACTCAAAGGATCTGCTGTCCATAAAACATTAGAATGGTATTCAAAGGTAGTTCAAATCTTAGGAGATATCTCTCCTGAACCAAGCACCTACCCCCACTGGAGAAAATCATGACCCAAATCTGTGTGTAATCTATTGAGTGCTGTTGAGTACAATAAAAAGAAAGGGTGGGAACGTGGCCGAGTGGTTAGAACGTTCGCTTTCTGACCATGAGACCCGGGTTCGAATCTCACCATGGTCGATTTGTCAGTAAGAAGACTTCTGATAACACCATCGGAAAAATATACCACGGGTTGATCCAAGCCTTGTGAGTGAAATTGAGTAGACGGAACCCTTAGGGGCCGTCGATAGCTGTGCCATCGTGACCGAGGCCTTGTTCCAATTGTTGATCATGCTAGATAACACGCTCTTTCCCAGAAACTGTAACTACGGTCTGCTCAGTTTAGTTGCAGTATAAACCCCAGGAGGGCTCTGTAGGCGTTGAATAAACACAAATGCGCCTGAGCAAACGTCTGCAGTAGGGATTGGCTAGCCGCCCTAGTAGACGAGTATCCTTGGAATACGAGTGACCAGCTATACATATATACAATAGAAAGACCTGGCGCTCCCTAAATGCATCAAAGTGAATTTATACATTTTCTTTATTCTTGAGAATTGATAAGCATTATTTATTTAATAGATTATTTACACTGATTATTATATTGTTTATTGGAATGGTTGGCAAAACATCTGCTAATTGCCAGGTGATTCGAACTTTATAAAATGGTAAATAATAAGGATTTCTTTATAGTTGGTTCACATATTTTAATAATTTAGTAAACGTTTATATATTTATGAATAAAAAACTATTTTCATATTTATTTCTTTATAAAATGGTTAATGATAAATATTGCATTGCATTAGTCCTAATTGTATTAGTTTTTAGAATGTTGTAAATATAAAATTATTCTTGTAATTAAACAACCTAATAAATAAATGTTTAATATATTTGTTGCAAATTCTCTAGAACAAAAGAAAGCGTACACATTCTCTTTCACCATATCTTTACGTTTTATTACAATTCTAATCATCGCTTTCTTTAAACAAATAAACATCGCCGAAGGGTGAGGATATTTAAAATAATAGCGGTGTCAATGAAAAAAAAAACACATCATTTTGACACTCCGGACACGAAGGGTCATAATTGCCGATAATTCCTTATCGAAAAGATTCCGATATAAATGTAAAGAAAATGGAAACAAGAGAGTATCTATTGCACAGTATTTTTCACCTAAGAGTACAAAAGCTCAATGAAATACAGTAGAATTTGTATGAAACGGATCCATCCATCAAGACAAATAAAAAGTTATAGAATTCAAAGAGAAACGAAATTAATATCAACCTCAGGATTTTTTTTTTTTTTTTTTGTATTAGATTCAAGTACTAAACTAATCCTCTACTTTAAGCTTTAGGTATTTACAATACAGAACAGAAGGTCAGTGGATCACATTAAGACATCAACATCTTTGGTCCCTAAAATGGTCTTTTTTTTAATTGTTTCTCGATTTTTAAATGAGGGAGGGAAAATAAACTTGAAACTCCGTGGTCGCAAAAAAACAAAAAAAAAAAAACAAAAAAAACATGGAGTATCAAAAGGACGGTTTTTCCATTGACGCTGCTATTATTTTAACTACCTTCACTCATCAGCTATATATATATATATATATATATATAATATATATATATATATATATATATATATAACTCACTTGGCAATTAGCAGATGTTTTATATGGTCTTTTTTAAATTGTTTCTCGTTTAATAAGTGAGGAAGGGAAAATGGCCAACTTTAACCTTCGTGACCACAAAAAAAAAAGAAAAAAAATGATGGTTTTTCCATTGACATGGCTATTATTTTATTTACTTTCACTCCTCGGCAATGTTGTTTTGAAAAGCGATGATTAGAATGATAATAAAACCTTTTTTAAACTTTGCCGTGGTGTGAAGGTAGTTAAAATAATATCGGTGTCAAGAGAAAAACCTTTCGACAGTCCATTTTTTTTTTATATAAATCATGATGGTCCAAGTTTGCCTTGAAGATTACTTGGAGGCAAAATTTTAAGGAATTGTCACATTAATTCGATAATCCACCCTAACCACGTTTCTTGGATTAAAAAAAAATATTGTCAAGTTTCATGGCTACAGAAAAACAAATAAACGAAAGTAACTATGGCTATCTTTATGGACACAAAAACAATCCAAACGAAAAAATAAAAGTAACTATGGTCATGAATGCAACCATAGTAATATGACAAAGAAACATTATTCGTGTTTCTATGCATTTTTATCGTAAGCCATTCACCAATAAATGCTCCCATATACAAATATTTAAAGAGATTGAATTATGATAACGATTACGATTTCAGACATAACAAACGAGAATTAAAGGCGCCCCCCCACTCACTATTGATGATAATGTCTACCAATCCCGTTGACTTTTCTTAACTGGAAACAGTTTCGTTTATCTGAAGTTAAGACGGAAAAACAATGGCCTATCCTTCCGTTTCCAGCAATTATTAATACTGGACAAAGATAAAGAAGGAAAAAAAACAACAAAAGAATATTAAGTACGCTAGACGACTAATTTGAAAATCAAAGGGTATGAAGTACTTCGCAAGTAACTGCCTTTTCAGATATCAACGTTTGCTGAATGCAAAGTGTGAATTGACAAATAACGTTGCTGATAACGACAATAGTATTGTATTTGACAAGACATTTCTTAGTAACTGAAAATTCAAATGACCAATCCACAACATCAGCTTTAAAAAGAAATAACAGTTCGATAAAGTTTTTCAAACAGATTTTTTTCTAGAGTTTTACAATTAACAACCGTGTGTATTTTGTAAACTTCAAAATGTCAAACTGTTGGCAATATATAACGCTCGACTTACACACGTTTTGGTGCAAGTCAACTTATACTAAGGCTTAGCTAATTTTAGAACACTCAGTTAAAAAAGCAAGTGGAACCGTTTCCCAAGAGGGTGCTTCCTTGACCACAACAATCTTAACCCGTTCAAGGGAAGGGCTAACCGTTATATTCCCCAAATATGCGCATAATCTGTGGCTCCTACATGGTGAACACCATTGCAACAAAAACGTCTTTGCTCTTCATTTTATTGTACAGAACCTGAGTATATCAACAAATGACAATTTAGAGACAATTTTCTCATAATATTCAAATTAATTCTGAATGCATCCTGCAACAGCTATGAATGTTAGTGACTTCCTGATTGCTCAAATATCTGTTTTTTTATATTATGATAATGACAGTGTAAATGTATTGTTCTAAGTTATGAGTGGAAACAATATAAACCCCTTATGTACAACCACTTTACA